GAGCAAGTGCAGGGGATGGGAGCGCCTATTGAGTTTATCGCAAGTTGGAATGCGTAAGATGCTGCCCCCTGGGTGGTCCGGGACAGCAAAATTCGTAGCCAAGCACTAAATCGAATTCAATCCGGTACTCTGGCTCTGGATTAGTCGATGGTTATCTATTTCGGATTGTGAATTTGGCCTTTTCAGGGCTCAAATGACCTGGCGTCTTGGCAATTTTCATCCCCCAACAAACCACAATAACCAAGTTTCCCGACCTCTGGACCCGCGCGCCTGGCGACGAATTTTACAGTTCCAGAACGCCCAAAGATACACCTTAAACAGCGACCACACGAATCGACAGGTAACCTATTCATTTTTTTTTCCAGCATTTTCTCCCCCATCTACCCCGCGCAAGTATAGCCACCTAAGGGTTGCCTAGCAGCTCAAGAACAAGATTGGGCAGAAATATCGGTGGGCTGAACTCCTATCGTCACGCATTGCCTATCCCTATAGCTTTATCTGGGACTAGTGGTTACCCATGTGTCTCGCACTACCTCCAGCCAAACTATTTCAACGGCTCTCGCACCTATCTTTTGGCTTGTTTTAAGCTTGCTCCCGGATCATCACAAACCCTGTCCTACGACCCACAATGATAGCCGCCCGTACGACTACCAACAACGGCACCAGGGCGGTAGGTTGGGCTTTGGTGTAGGAGTTTGCCGGGGGCGCGCATTGTCTGTGATAGTGAAGCATCCGGTCTTCTGAGATCTGGGGCATCAAGTGTTGGCGGGGTGTGAGAGTGCGGGGGACCAAATGCCCAGGTGACACGGAAAGGAGGGCAAAGTTGCCGTGATGTTTGGGTGGAACTCTTACCCTAGCTAGTCCTTTCGGACATTCATTCGCAGAATTTGAGACCCGGACAAAAAGGCAAAAGGTACGATAGACGGACCAGTACAAAGTCTCCAACGAGACTGCGTGCTCTCGGAAACTTAAAAAAAAGAAAACAAAAGGAAAAACGCAAACGTGGCTGGTTATGAGCTATTCTTAAGGGGCTAAACAAGGGAATAGCTGTAAGATCCATGGCAGCCCATCCCTGCCGTTGGGTACTAGTTAGTAGATTACGAGGTCGCCTAGGAGAAGATGGGCTTTTGTGAGCATAGCAAGGAACGAAAGGACAACTAGCGAGACGGAACGCCAAGAGCTCATACACCAAAACGATCGCACAACTGAGGAGCTGAGAAGTTCTCTTCTTCCTAGCTAACTAATGGTAAAGACAGTAGATATAACAACGGCAAACAAGTCCTTCTATTTTTACATATGTTACCACATTTGTCCGTGCTATTGCTCTTATGCCTCCCCTTGCTCTGACTCCTGTACCAACAAAGGAAAGACAAACTCCCGATGTCCATAGCCTCAGACATCCAGTTCTCTTGGCATCTGGATTTCGAACTTTCCTTACAGCCTTTCCGTCTTCCTTCCGGCAGATGCATGGACGGGAGGCGTCCATGCGTCCCTGCAGCCGGGGTGCTTTCCCGAAAGCCAAAACATTCTCAAAGCCAAAGTGCATTCCTAAAGCTATCCGAACAAAGAGAACACCTTTTTTTTTGAGGGCATCCTGAGAAGCACCTCGTGATTTCCAACAGGAACCTGCTCGAGTAAAGGGCCATCCCCGGATGCGTCGCAGAAACAGTCTAGCCTCCCAACAGCTGATCCAGTGGTACTGGAATATACGGGTAGTTTACAGGAAGTGAGTCTACAGGAAATGAGGGACGACAAAAAAAGCAAGGAGTCTAGAGTTCGATCTAGAATTCCTAGCGGTCCACCTCATCCTTGTAACAGGTTTACATGGGCCATAAGCTATTGTCAGCCGTCATCCCATATCACCACACCTAGTGGGCTTTGTAAGGGACAACGGGCGCGACATGTGCCGTCGCTGCTCAAGTCCTCTGCTTGCTGGAAGGCTACGGGTGATTGGGGTGACAATAGACAGAAAATCGTAGCATTTGCGATAGGCGAATAGTGGGGGGCGGGGTGGGAGTGTGACGCAGTCGCAGGGAGCTGGGAGAAAAAGCAGATAACCGAAGGGACTGATAGCAGTCATAGTTACGTGCAGAGAGTAATGTAGATAGAGGGCGCCTTTCAGACCTCTCCCCTGTCGGGTTTGGGGGGGGGGGGGGCACAGCGCCCAGCGGACAGAATTCTGCTATTAGCCAAAGTATAAACACTGTGGACTTGCGGAGAAGTCTGGGGAGCAGGGTGGGGGTATCAAGCGGCAGGTGGCGGAATGGTGTAGATGTCGGGTCAAAATGTGGATGATGGAAAGCAAAGTGCACCGGTGGAGGAGTCAGGAGCTGGTTATGACGGAAAGAGAAGGGGGCCGGATGCGATTTCGGTGGTCCTACGCCATGGAAAAGGTCAGGACCAAAACCGGTATCAAGCACTCTAGCACCAGCAACTCCATCATAGTATATCTAAAGGTGGAAGTAGAAGTGTGATGGTATGATAATTATTCAATAGTTTCCGACATGTAGGCACCCATGGTAGGCTAATGTGTGGAATAAGAGGGCGTGGGTTGGAGTATCATAGGTATTGTTATTCCTCTCCCGGAGGTTCTCGGTGGAGAAGTTTGTCAAAGGATTTTTTTTTCTCAGTTAGAGAGCCAAACTTAACCCATAACTCAGCGTTTTGGCGGGGAGGAGGAAAACCCGGAGAAACCGGAAGATCGTGACGGTGAAAGGGGGCGTGGTTCATCGTAGGTACTAGTGCTGCGTTGCTTGTCATTTGAAAAATCAGGAGATTGAACAAGCGCGTCATACTCGGCGATGTTTGTACAATCCGGCCCTGGACCTCGAGATGGGCAACATGAGAGGCTCTGGAGCCGCACAGGGTTTGCTGGTCGATTCACAGCCGGGAACCCTTCGACAACACCGTAGCGTATCCCACGGGGGGGTTTTGGTAAGTTACCGGTCCCTGGAAAATACCAGTGTGGAAGTGTTACGGTCGACTTCCGGGATTGAATGGCGTGCTCGACTGGGCTGGCTCCTGTGCGAAAGTTTTGTCCGTGACCTCGAGGTATACTTGTACAGGGGGATGGAGGATGGAAACCACGGTATCTTGGAATGACGACCGCATAACACACTCGGGGCGGAGGGAGCAGAAGAGAGGAGAAGTTGGATCCAACAGAGGCGGAGAGGAGGCTTGGTCTAATTGCGTGTTGATGTAGGGTGTTCGCCCTCCTCGTACGCATGGGAGTGGTCGCCAAACCTGGGCGCATCTCGTTTCACTGCACAACATGAAGGGACACAGGCGCCTACGTGGGGGAGGGTGTGCGCTAGGGCACCTACCGTACCAAATCAGCGGGTGGCAGGCCGGTGCTGTGCCCAAGCAGGGTCGCTAACTACGGTAGTCTCGTCCGCGCTGGCAGAGACATGAGCCCTGGGCTGCTGGGAGAATGCGCATCACCTTTCGGGACGGGGCTGAATGTCGCACAATGTCGTATTGCATTAAACTAAATTTACCGGTACCACAACAACCGCTAGTACTATACAAGCAGAATAAGGAAAATCAATGCTTTTGGTAAGAGAACGGGTTCTACTACCGGCAGCGGCAACCGAATGTCTTTCGAGTACCGCCACACTAGTATGCCGGTATATCTGACCGCGACATTGCCCAATCGAATTCTGTGAATCACGGCCTAAGCGCTCGTGATACCGGCAGTGCAATTGGGTCGCTTACGGTGCGGCAGCTCCAGAACCATACGCGTACGAGTACCGCATCATACTCGTGTGTTGTACCCGTACTCCTACTCGCGGCGATTCCGATACGATCACTTTGGTCAAAACAAGCGGGGTTGTTTACTCGGGTGCACCTTCCGTCCATCTCTGTAGGCTGTAATGTATTGTGCCGCGCGCCTGCTGGCACTAAAGCTCATGCAGGGAATGAAACTTGATTGTTGCTGAAAACGGTAGCACAGGGGCTAATATATTTGAGTACTATCACACCTAACCAAAAGTTGCGCCGGCGGCGGCTAGGCATGCAGCTGCTATTCTTATGCGTCATTGTGCTCGAGTAAGCGCTACGCATTTCGCAGCCCGGCTCTTGGAGCTCTTAAGAAGGACCTTGCTCCGAAAAGATGCCCTCTACGAGTAGTTGATGTATCCCACCTCACCCCCGAATCCACAGTAGAAAGCATAACTGAAAAGCTCTCCAAGCTTCCAGGACCCACCCCGAAATCGAAGCCCTACTTTTATTCATTGAAAGATAGCGAGCTCTCATAGCAACTCACGCCCCCTCTTAGACCTACAACATTCCTCAGGAAAGAAATGGGGGACCCGTTATCGGGCGTTGCCAGTGTCGTGGGCCTCGTTCACCTCAGCGTGAAGGCTTATCTACTTTGCGATCAATACCGCGACGCTGTCAAAGGCAGCGAACAGGATTTCAAGAGACTAGCGGATGAGATTAGGAGTATTGAGGGGCACCTGCATGAAATAAAAATCCTGGCTAAAGAAGGCGGTGAGAAAAACCCACGATACCATAGAATTCTTGAATGGACCGAAAGCAACGGTATGAAATGTTATACCAAAGCCCTCGAGAAGTTGGAAAAAAAGTTACATGTTCAGGGATGGAGGATATATTTGAGAAAGTATCTTTGGCCACTTCGAAAGCCCAAATTGGAGTACTACCTGGTCTTGGTTGGACAGCAGAAATCAGAACTCCAGTTGTTGCTGGCTGAGGTTACAGCGTAAGTTCTCCATTCCCCCATAATGGAAGAATCTAATTTCTCCACTGCTTTTTCTTTCCGGCAGCAAGGCTAACTAGTTGTTAAGAATGACGGTAGCAAAGATGTCGCCAATGGTAGCGGAGATGCTGCCAATGGTAGCGGAGATGTCGCCAATGGTAGCAAAGATGTCGCCAATGGTAGCAAAGATGTCGCGAACACTGGATGGTACTTGGTTACAATATTCCTAACACTGCCAATGATTTTCTTACTAATATCGGATGTTCCTAAAACTCCAGCGAATAAACTCCAGGAATTACAGAGATGGTTTAACGTCGTTGACCCAAGCTCAAATTATTCATCGGCACTCAAGCTTCGTGAAGATGGTACGGGGAATTGGCTTCTCCGGGGACGCGAGTATATCGACTGGAAGGCAAGCAGAAGTGGGCTTCTCTGGCTTCACGGTATACGTGAGTTTACACACTAGTGAAATCTTATGCCCCAAGGAAGGTCATTAATATTTGTCTCTTATAGCCGGATGTGGAAAAAGTGTGCTCAGGTGCGAACTCAACTGGGTATCCAAGAGTACAATATGATTTCGTGATTGCTAACTCTCTTTAGCGCTACTGTTGTTGAGGATGTTGAAAAACTCTGCAACTCGAAAGACGATCACGCCTTAGCATATTTCTACTTTACCTTCAGTGATAGGGAGAAGCAAAATTTGGAGAATATGCTTCGATCCATTATTGGCCAACTTCCAAAACGGCCTTCGGAGCTGGGTTTGCCGGCCGAGGTTGTGGATCTGTACAACAGCACCGGAGCAATTAGAAAGTCGGCGAGTACCGAGGCTCTGGAAGATGTACTGTTACACACTATAAAGGGTTTCGAGAAGACATTTATCATCTTAGATGCCTTGGACGAGCTCCCGAAGGACGAGCGCGGAAGCCTCCTATCTTGGATTGGCGAGCTCATGACGAACCACAAGAAGGTATCACTTTCGATCCTCGTCACTAGCCGTCTAGAGGCCGATATAGAGGGGTCACTAGAGCCACTCAACCCTTCTGAAATATCCCTACAACCTAGCACTATCGATCCGGATATCCGCGCATATATTCAAAACTCTCTAGCCACAATGGATCGTTTAAAGAAATTTGCGCAAGAATTCAAGAGTGAGATAGAGGAAACGCTAGTTTTGCGTTCACAGGGAATGTGTGTTATGCCCAATTATTGAATCGCTGCTTGTGCTAATCTTTGCGACGCGTGTTTTCAGGTTCCGATGGGTATATTGTATCCTACGACTTCTGGAAGAATGCGGAACGCCAAAATCGGTGCGGGATGTGTTAAGGGAACCCCCGGAGGGCTTAGATTCTATCTACGCGAGCATCCTCGATACTATTCCTAAGACGAACAAGGAATATATTCGGCGAGCGATGAATTGGCTAGCGTTTTCGGCAAAACCATTGACATCAGGCCAGCTTGCGGAGGCCGTTGGGATACAATACGATGTCAACAAGTATAGCGAGGATTCGGAAAACCGAGTCGACACGACGTTCCTCATGAGCATTTGTCCTAGCCTTATTTGCTTTGAAGACTCCGGGGACGATAAATCCTCCACGCAGGAAAGCCGCCGATTACGACTAGCACATTTCTCGGTAAAGGAATATTTGATCTCCGACCGGGCGGCTCAGGCCTCCAATGGGGACTATCATATCTCGCAGGATAAAGCCAATTTACGGATGGGGCACGCTTGCATTAGTCGAATCCTGCGGCATGGAGAAGGTACTATAGGCCACAACAAAGTCGAAAAAAAGTCCTTTCTCTACCACAGTGCTCGCCATTGGTTCACGTACTTTAGACGAATCCAGGATACGGCACCCACTCTACTCTCCGAGGCTGCGGTAAAGGTGCTCGAGCTTGGCCAAGCCTGGCTAGATATATATGACCCCGACAATCCCTGGCGGCGTGAACAATCTGATCCCAGGCCTTACCCACCAGCGATCTACTATTGCTCCTTGCTAAATTTACCGACGGTCTGTAAATTACTACTCACCAGAACGGGGGATGTAGTAGATGTGGATGCTCAGGGTGGCCGTTGGGGAAATGCACTACAAACAGCTATAGAAAATGGAAACGCACGGATCGTGGAACTTCTCGTCGCAGGTGGGGCAAATGTGAATGCTCAGGGTGGCGAGTATGCCAATCCACTACGAGCAGCTATAGAAAATGGAAACGCATCGATCGCGGAACTTCTCGTCGCAGGTGGGGCACATGTGGGTACTCTGGGTGGCTATTGTGGCATTGCACTACACGAAGCTGCAGTAGAAGGAAATGCATCAATGGTGGAATTTCTCCTCAAGTGTGGTGCAGATGTGAACGCTCAGAGTGGCCGTTTTGGCAATGCACTACAAGCAGCGGCATCAAAAGGAAACAAATCGCTTGTGCAGCTTCTCCTCGACCGTGGGGCAGATGCGAATGCGAAGGGTGGTCGGTATGGCAACGCACTACAAGCAGCTACAGAAAAAGAAGACGAACTGGTTGTGCAGCTTCTCCTAGCGCATGGGGCAGATGTGAATGCTGCCGGTGGTTATTACGGCAATCCACTAGAAGCAGCTGTATTAAAGGGAAACAGATCGCTTGTGCAGCTTCTCCTCGAGCATAAGGCAAATATGAATGCTCCGTGTGGCGAGTATGGCAATGCACTACAAGCAGCTACAGAAAAAGAAGACGAACCGGTTGTGCGGCTTCTCCTCGAGCATGGGGCAGAGGTGAATGCTCAGGATGGCCATTATGGCAATCCACTACAAGCAGCTAC